AAGCTGAAACACATCCGCAATCCACGACATCCTTAATTTCGTTTCTGAAACAAATGAAATTAAACACTTTAACCAAAATTTCGAGACTCGGGTTGTAGGTGAATTATCTACTTTTGGGTTAGTAGCTGCCCTTGAGTAATTCACCGACGAGGTTGGGTAGCAGAAACATTTGCATTTTGAATTTCCTAGAAGTAAATTACTCCGTAAAAGAGTTAGAATTATTAGGGGCCGTGTGAGCGATTGACATTTCAAATAACGTTTATACGGCAAAATTTTCATCATCATCACAGACTACCAAGCTTTAACCAGCGCATTAAATGCCAGCGAATGATCAAAGACTAGCCAAAGCAGGCTCACTAGGTGAATTGATAGATTAATCCCATTTAATTTTGATTTAAAAGACTTGGCAGGAACAAAAATAGGGTTTATATTTCCAGAAATCTGTTAGGATTAGTACTATCCCCAGCAAGTATGTTGAAGAATGTGTTGTGGCGTCAACTAACTTGTTGATTTTCGATCTTGAATTGATTGACAACGTCATACACAGCAAACTAGCCAATCATAATCCAGCTCCAGATCGGCTGATCACAAAACACGCGGAAAATAAACGGAATTCAAAAGTTCAATTGCAATCTCGAGTGCATTTCGAACATTCCAATTATAATAAAAGCGGTCATTCAGTTCAAAACAAAAACAGTCACTTGACCAACTGCACAATTGAAAATCAGAAAACAAAAAATCTAAGATAACAAAATTATATAAGATGCATCAAAACAGTGGAGGCCAACTTCGTTGAATTGAGACGTCAAAACAAAACAGAAGGATACAAAAGGATATAAAAGGATATTCATCCCCGACAACGCAAGGTCCCGAGGGGGAGGTAGTTCCTCTAGACCACAACATACATCTGAAAGAGGGCGAAACCCGGAAAAAGTGTGGAACGGTGAACCTGACAGAGAAGAGAGCCTGTTCGAGCCTGTTCGAGCCACGCTGGCCCAAAAAGACGATGTCAACCACTTATTAGCTCTGGACTACCCATTCAACGACACCAATTAAGTCCGCCACAAAACATTCAAGATTCTAGAGAGTTAATCCCGAACAAGAGAACTCAACCATTCCCAAAAACCGTGTTTACAAATAGCCCAAAAACAATTTCTCATAAAGAGATCAACAAAGATCAAGAAACGACATGAAACTTGTCGATGATTACCACACTTGACAGGAACTACAGCCCGAAACACATATCTTCAACGGAAAAAGCAGCCGACAGGATCAGAAACCCAAAAACCAAAGAAACCCAAAAACGAAAGGAACCCAAACTGAGCTAAACAAAAAGGAATCGGAAACCCAAACACTCACAAACACAAACATAAAACAACAAAACAACGTACAACCACAAAAACATTTGGCAGTAGAGGTAAACAAATATACAAAAATTGTGTTAGTAGAATCTCCGACAACAGCCTTGCACAGAATGAACATCGCCGAATGAAGCACCACCGACGATGTCCAGTACACAACTCGAAGCCAGTCACGAACTTATTATAGCAAGCGTGGTAGAAACAGCAGACCGAGCCACAGCAACAGAGGCAGAAGAGGACACCGGAAAAAATTGCAACAGGTAATCGGTGTAAAATTTATAGCCGCGGTCGCACGCAGAGAAAAGCACGAAAAGCGGGAGTCGGAGGAGGTTACTGCTACAACGTTAGGAACCATTTACTTGTCAAGGATGGTTGTCTACTGATTGATGACCGGATCATCATCCCTCAGCAACTGCCCTACGTCAAACCAACCTGGACAGTCTCCATTTAATCCATCCTGTAGCAGCGGCCACGCACGACCTATGCGAGAACATCTGGTCCCGTCACATCCATCGTAAAATTGTAGAGATCGACCAGAAATGCCAACAATACAACCAACATGGTAAACTTTAAAACTTGTATATGGAAAGTCACAATCGTTTCAAATGGAGCACGTATTCGAACCCAATGAAGAAGCATAACTAGACTTCGCCGCGCTTCTCCCGGACGAATTACACAAAGACGCTTACATTTTGGTTGTGGTAGATAAAAGGTTAAAATTCCAAACAGCACAAGTAGTATCAAACACAACGACAGATAGAGCAAAAAGATATATAGCAGAGGTACATATCAAAGACTGAGGCCCACAGAAATTTAAGGTGTTATCAAGTACAAACGTTTAGAGCCAAAAAAGAATTCCGATCTTTTGCAAATCTAATGACACAAAACTTCTTGGGTATACCTCACCTTATAAATAAGCATCGAATGTCGCCAAAATCATAAAATTATCAAAAATAACACTATACAAAACTAGTAAAATTTCACCATTTGAGGCGCATATGGGACGCACACCAACACACCATTATCAAACTTCGCAACAACTGTTTCACTAAATAACTTGGACTGGTAAAACGCAAAACACACCTGTTTAGATAGAAAAAACCTGATGTATCATCTTCTCCCGCCAGAAATCATGCCGACCTCCAATGATGGTCCGAGAGTGAAGTCAAGATAAAATGACGGCCTTTTACAAATCTTTGAGAACCGTCGAGTAGTACCGGTGTGCGAACCAGACACTCCTAATTTAAGATAAAAAAGAACCCAAAAACAGGTGGAAAATAACATTAAGAAATGCATACAATAGGTGGCTCAAAAAAAAGAGCAAGGGGCAACAAAAGTTAAAGATCCTAGGACATTGAGCAAAAGTACGAAACACTCGACGGTAGAAATTCAACATACACTGCGCACACGGCTTGGGTATAAACTCTGGTAAAACAACCTCGCTTACTGAGAAACAGCGGTTTCGCATTTGTATCACAAAAATTTTGTTGACCTTCACGTCTCAGTGAATATGTGGCATACAAATCAGCTAGAAGAATTGGTCCACGCTTGCGTTTCTTAGAATTTGAGCAGCCAAACGCTCCACAACATGAAGTGTTCTGGAAGATGAAAAGACGTGACTTCCGAAGATTTTGTCCCAAAAGGAGAAGCCGAACCGAAAAGATGCGGAGACAACAGAGAAGAAAAGAAAGACAAAACAACAAACTGGAAAACGGACGCGCGGAAAGCCAAACCTCAAACAAGCAAGGGGAATGACATTCAGAGAGACAGCCAGGAATCATACGAAGGAATCGGACCCTTCGTCAAGTCACCGGTGGTTCTCTACAGCTTCCGAAACCACAGTAGCCTCTCCCAAACGACTAGAAGTCAAGAAAACAACTCCTCAGCCCGCTACATTAGAACCGATGAGAAGTCCACAAGAACGCGACGGACAACACTGACCACGGTGCTGTGAAACCCAATTCCGATAAATTCAATAGAGTTCCTACAGAATTTTGCTCTAGCGTCCCCAGAAAAAAAACACAGGAGCAACTCGAACATCAAGAGCCTGATCCATGAAATGGGATTCCAGAAGGATTCACAGGAATTTGTGGCGTGCATGAAATTCCTCGAAACGATTAAGCTAAAATCGAAGGACAACGACACCATCAGCGTCATAGACATGGTATCCCACAGGTCCCACAAGGACTATAAAACTCCTTGCCAACAGTGACATAAAAATCGAAATTATTCCTACAGGGACGCAATTTTAAAGAGAGGGGAGTGTCATCCGGCCGGATTGGCGTAAATTATTATGATGTCTTTATACATGTATATACTTATTTTTCGGAGACCAAACAGATGGCCTAGACCGATATGGACAGAACATATCGGTGAGCTTATTCGTTCAGTTGCCTTGAATTCAGTATTGGGTTCAGTTATCTTTCCTAGACAGAACCAAGTATGCATTTATATAGCCAGTCAGTTCGGATTCTAGAACATCTCATACACAGCGGTATGACAAAGTTATTACATTTACCTCCACCAAAGAAACTGATTTGAAAAAGAGGATAGAATCGATGCTTAAAAACTTTCAGTCAATCTTAAAATTGTAGTAGAACGGTACCGATGAGTCCATAAAATGTAAGCAAAGTTTCCGACTTTTCAAGAATTTTATCATGCCCTAGCTCCCTGGCTAATGACTCGAAGTGTTTTAATGTTTTAACTGTGATCCAAGTTTTAGGAAACTTAACCCCCGTGTATTTTTCAGTTTTTGAAGCGTTCCTTCAGTACAATTGCTTAACTTACAGACATTCTCCCGTAATTCTGTCGCACTCCATGAGGTTTTTACATGAGCAGGACTGGCAATTGTCCTCGCCTCCACCCCACATGAACTCTTTGCACGCTGACTGACAGTTCTCAGCGGGGTCAAATCCAGGTACACAGATGCAGCTCCCTTAAAAAGATGCAGCTCCCTTTTTCTTTTTCAAAAAAGAAAAAACTACAGATTTGGAGGTTCCCACTTAATCGGGTCGAGATGCTCACTTTATGTTTTGGCTTTCAAAGCCGAGCACATTGCCGACCGAAAACGTTTGAAGCTCATTACCAAGAAAGCGTTGAAAAAAATCGAAAGCTAATTTTATTGGAGTAAAACTAATTTGTCACGGTTTATTTAAGTAAAAACGTATCCTCTGATTTCAAGCATGCTCGTTCGCTTTGTTCGCTCGAACAAAAATTTTTTTCAATTTTATCGGATTGGATCCCACAAAATTATCGGACTGGATCGACTGACATATCACGATGAAGCCCTCTCAGTCGTGGTTTGAACATTTAAAACAGAAAACCGGTTTTTCTCGATTTTCTGTTTTGTAATGTTAAAATCACGACTGAGAGGGTTTCATCGTGATATATCAGTCGATCCAGTCCAATAATTTTGTGGTAACTGATTTTGCGTGAAGAAAAAGAAAAAGGTAACAAAAAACTAGAACGCACCCGAAAACAAAATTCTTCCCCACTTTCAGTGGTCGAAGGAACAAGATTACCAGATTGCGGCGCAAGTGGTGCAGAAAGTTATGACCACCGTAACTGTTCAAATACAACTGAACTGAGTCAAAAGAGTATCTGCAACACGAATAGTCGGCTGCTTTGCAAGAATTACAGATTGATCGGACCAAGTCATTATTACCTTATTAATTTAAAAAATTTTCTCGATTTTCTGTCATTTTTTAGAGAAGAAATCTTTGTGAGATAACAGTTTTTTTTACTCGCAAAACTTGCAGCAAAGAAAGGCGACAGTTCATCGAAAACGACATCTGGTCGGAAGGAACATTAGGCAGAGTTTATAAACGCGGTCGATTGACAGAGCGCGACGTTGGCATCAAGCAACAGTCGTTAGCTTGTGGTGCGTCGTCGCTTAGATTTAAACATGACGTCAACAGTGTGCTAGCTATTCGTGCTAAATTCAATTATCTGTCAAGGTCGTGACCGACCTGCCAATCCACTCTAGTTTTAACATCATGCGCTCTCTTTTCATTCTCTTCAACTTATGAAAGATTTAAGTTGTATTTATTTCATTGTCATGACATAATTTAAATACTAAACTATCTATATTATTTATATGACTATAACATAACAAGGAGAATTGATTCTTGTTTTACAACTGTCTTTCGACGTTTCACATGGCGCAGCCAGCAGTTTCGACCTCAGAGGATCGAACTGACCTGTTGGGCGTATCCGTATTTTGGCATAAACCAACTGCGGACCCACCACATAGCTGGGATTCGTGGATAGGTCAATTCAATTTGGCAATCACTCTGAGAGAGAAATGTGATCCACGCGAATTATTAAAACCTCCGGGTGTCGTACACGACGATCCTGCTCCAAAACCAGAAGTTGTGGGGTCGGACGAAGATGCTGCAGCAATCGCAAGTCGTATTGCACTTAATGACGCGGCGGTCCGGAAAGTCACGGAAATGAATGAAGAGCCCCGGGCGAAAGGTCCCCGAGTTGCACCAGGAGTGTATTATTTCGAGGTTGAACAACGTGTTAAATCTCGTTTATTTTTCTCGCTCGGCTCAGAAGGGAGGAAAAGATTCCTCCAAAGTTATCCACATGCGGATCTGAGCGAATTATCGTTTCGGGAATTTCATGAATTCTGTGTTCTCCTGTTCAGAAAGGAGAAAAATTTCATCATCGAACGTATGCAAATATACAACGCGGTACATTCAGACCGAGAAAGTTTGGAAGCATTCTATTTACGTTTGACGGGACAAGCCGCCCTGTGTGGATGGACAATCGATCAAGAAAAGGAAGTCGTAAGAGATATCTTCATTGCCAAAATGAGATATAAGGATATTCAGAGAGAATTGTGTATTCATCCAGGTGCTACTCCGGAGGATTCTCTGAAATCAGCTTTACTGCAAGAAAAGGGAGCACAAACGGCCACCGATTTGCAACGGCAACTCGGGAGTTCGTCGTCGACGGGCAATTATTCCCAGGCAGGTGCCACATTGGGTCAGAATTCCCGGATAAAACAGGAACCTACCTTCTCTGTCCAGGGTAAGAAACTTTCGGACAGGATTAGTCGGGCACAGAATAGTAAGCAAAAGGGGATCAACGAGAAATCGAAGTCGTGTTATTTCTGTGGTAACAGGTTCTCAACAAACCACAAGGAGAGTTGTCCAGCCAGAAATGTTACTTGCAGGAACTGTAACAAAAAGGGTCACTTTGCCAAATGGTGCAATTCTAAGAATGTAGCGAACGTGGAAGCTGAGTCAGATGAGACAGTGGAAGAAACTTGCAATTTCATCACGTCCGATAGTGAGTCGGAATTCACTGTTTTATCTGTAGCAGCAGAGAAACCAAGTCTCCCAATTAGGTCAGTGAAAAAGTTAGAGGTGGTCAATGCCGCCACGGGCAAGTTACGTTCCATCCAGATAACACTACGTTGTGGCAAGACGTTTTTCAAGGCAACAGTGGATACTGGGAGTCCAGCCTCCTTCGTGAATAAGAAGACAGCAGACTATATTCTGAAAACGGTTCCTTCAGCCAAGTTCTTTACGGTTCAAGAAAGTCCAATCGATACAGTATACGTTGACTATAATCGGAAGAAAATTGAATTGATGGGTACGTTAATTATGGATGTATCATCTTTGGGATGGCATATCAAGTCTGCAAAATTCCTTATTTCAGAAAATCGAACACGTTGTTTACTGAGTTTGGATTTGCAACCCCAATTGGGAGTAAGAACAACGCAAGTTAGACCAGATCGTCCTTTGGTGGGAGAAGTCTCCCAATCAAACCCGAATTTAACATCGGATTCATGGAAACCTCACTTCCACCAGAAGTTCCATCGTGTATTCAGTAGAATCGGCAAAGCCAAAAACCACAAAGTATTCTCTACGTTCAAGTCTCCACTCGTCCCCATTCAAGAAAAGGGAAGGAGAGTGCCGGTGCATATTCAAGATAAAGTTGGTCAGGAAATCCAAAAACTAATTCATGAAGGGCACGTGGTTAAACTGAATAAATGTACCAGTGAGTATTTCATCTCTCCGATCGTTATTACGGCTAAGAAAGATGGTTCTGTGAAATTAGCTATGGATGCTAAACCTATGAATGACCAAATTCATAAGAACCATTACCAAATGCCAAATTTGTTGGAACTATTGGACTCGGCCGCCCAAATAATCAAGTCGGACATTTCCGGAGATGTTTGGTTTACGTCCTTAGATTTAAAATACGCCTTCAGCCAGATTCCGCTCAGTGAGGAAGTTAGTCGTCATTGCAATTTTAATATCGTCTGTGGAGAACAAACTGGCACGTATCGGTTCAAAACGGGGTTTTATGGACTAACGGACATGCCAAAGGAATTCCAAAAAGCGATGGATAATACTCTCCAGGGTCTGTCAGGAGTATTTTGTTTCCTTGATGATATTCTGATTGTTTCGAAGGGTTCAGTCGAGGATCACAATATCCTTGTAGACAAGGTGATAAGTCGTCTGAATGAAGAAGGTTTTGCTCTGAAATTTTCGAAATGCGAATTTTCTTTGAATCAATTATCTTGGTTAGGATATGATATTGATTCAGAAGGATACAGACCGAAACGTTCTAAGATAGAGGCAGTACTTGCTCTGGAACCACCAAGGACACTTAAACAACTCCGTTCGTTCATGGGCATACTCAACCACCTACAACGATTTTTGCCAAATCTTCAGGTCCATTCCGACCAATTACGCCCGTCACTGACGGCAGGTAATAAAAGCAAATTTGTGTGGGGGGAATGTCAGCAAACGGCGTTTAGTAACATCTTGCAGTTGATAGCGAACATAACAAAAATGTATCACTATGACCAAAGTCGGAACTCGCGGGTGAAATGTGACGCCAGTCATAGTGGTCTGGGTGCTGCATTAGAACAGGAGATAGAAAAGGATGTTTGGGTGCCAATTGCTTTTGCGTCACGCTTTCTAAACGATCAGGAGAAGAAATAAAGTACCAATGAATTAGAACTTCTAGCGATCGTATGGTCGTGTGAGCATTTTCGAACGTACTTGTTTCGTGATTTTAACTGATCACAAAGCAATCATATCTGCGTTAAAGACGAACCGCGGAAACAAAACTTATCAGTCACGTTTAACTAGATGGGCTGATAGGTTATTACCTTTCGATTTCGATATTTTCCATATCTCCGGCTGTAAGCTAGGAATGGTGGATTACTTATCTCGTTTCCCAACATTTGAAGCACCACGACCAAGCAGTTTTGACTAACAATATGTCGTCAAATGCATTAGTCGATTCTTTGATGCGTGTGAATTTTTGGACGGTTGGGCCAGGCATTACACTTCATCTGAAGAGTTATTCAATACCGCGGAAATAAGTCAGGATTATGACGTACCTGACCAAATTAACCTAATTGAGTTATTGGAAAATTGTCAGTCTCGGATCAATTGTCCCGATATCGACAGTTCAATTGTTGCATCGAACAAATTTGGAAACATACCGGTAGAGGGAGCCTTAATTCAAGACATTCAATCTACATCGAAAGGTTTATATTCGCTAGAGGGCGACAAAATTTTAGCCATTACTCAAAATAATTTCTCTAATCTATCGATTCCTTCTCCGCTAGAGGGCGTCCAACGTGTTGACTCATATTCTAGCCAATCAGCGTTGGGTATTACCATGCCGAATTTTGCCACTTTCTCAGCATGGATCACATTTTATCTGGTAATTCTAATTTCATTGTGGATTATTATTTTGGCCGTGAGCGGTTGTCATCTGTTGTCGTTGCTAATCGATCTTTTTGCCTTGATTTCGTCATATCGGATTTGTTGGAATGCATTTGGATTATTGAGTGCTTTTCATTTTCAGACTGCGATGAATCCCAACACAAGTACCAACAACACAAATGACAGTTTCGAGCAGTTGTTAAACCAGTATCTGCCAGTCACTCAACATTGGTTCTCCTCAGATAGAGCCAGGCCGCGGTTTCGCGCGGGGGCTGTTCGACCCAGAAGATCATCAACAGTTCAACGAGAAATGGAGCTGAGGAATCAATACGCCCGTATTCTAGCGAATTTCAGGTCCGAACGGGGCAGGACACCCGTTATATCGAAACAACAATCTCAGTCAGTCAACAGTCTCGAAATCTTAAAGTCACCAGTGGTCGCTAAGGACCAGAAATCGTTAACCGGACGTGTGGGAACTCTGGATTCAGATGTATTGTCGGAGCTCACGGACGAAGATGCCAGTTTAAGCCTCATGAAACGAGCAATAGTCAACCGGGATTACGAAGGATTTTGCCGTATCGATTCCTATATTAAATCATTTTGGCATTGTGCAGCGGTAGTTGATGGCTGTGTTGTGGTGGATAATAGGATCGCTATTCCCATGTGCCTACGTAAACCTTTGTTATCTCGACTTCATAGATCGCATGCGGGTCAGTTAGCAATGGTTGACGCAGCGCAATACATCTGGTGGCCCCGAATGCATCGGGACATCGTCCAACTTTGCAAAGATTGTCCTCAGTGCACAAAGTTTGGTAAGAATTTGAAAGCGAACGCATCATTTAATTCATCCAAGCCTTTACCTCTTTTATCTGGTCCTAATGAAGAGCTGCAACTTGATTACGCAGGCCCTCTACTTGACTCATTTGGTAATAGTATTTATATCTTGGTCGCGATCGACCGTTACTCAAAATATCCGTCGGCTATGATTACGCGTTCCACGGGAGGACGGAAGATCATTAAATTTCTCAAATCATATATTCAACAGCACAGTATCCCCAAATCCATCAAAACAGACCAGTACTCCGGTTTTAAAAATAAATTAGTGCAAAATTTTTGCCTAGAAAAAAATATCGCACAATATTTTTGCCCGGTGGGGGACCATCGTGGTTGCGGTTTAGTCGAAAGGTCGATACAAACAATTAAACGTCGTTTGGGCGCCTCATGGTGAAGTTCGGATTTTTCAACTGTTCAGGATACTCTTAGGAATATTATTGAAGATACCCGGGTTACAAAAAATTCAGTTACCGGGGTCTCACCATTCGAACTTCATTTTGGTCGTCCTCCGAATACGGAGCTATCTATAGCGGCTGATCGCTTATCTTCGGGAATTCATTTAGACAACCAACGTTTGGAACGGGACTTGCTCACACCACAGCAGCGACGGGAGCAGTGCGATAGTTGACCAAGAATCAAAGTCGTCAAGAAAGGGCAATCAAGCCCGATGGTGTCTCCACATTTTGGTGGAACCACAGACTCAGTAGCGGATACACCCCACTACCGTGCACTGGAGAGCTTGGCACAATCCGCAAACCAGTGGTTGTCGTTGAAAAAGTCTCTGACGCATCAGGAGGGAGTCAAAGCTCTGAAGACCCTGACGGAGAGAAATCAAGTCCTCGCAGCCACTCTTCGATCGAACTTGTCTGCTGGTACCCTCAGATTCAGGAACCAAATGCCAACGGAACAAATTCTCCCTTCGTTGCCAAAACGTAATTTGGACTATTTAGTATTGAACGAACCAAATCAGGTCGAAATATTTAGGAAATTTCTAAATAGGAAGTCTGGCAGAGAACTTTTCAAAACTTATAAGGGCAAAATCGTACGGATCACTGAATCCACATATATTTCTGATAGAGGAAAAGTTATTAGAAGGAATCACTTGGCAGTACGTCTTAAATCAACCCAACTAAGTTTTTCAGGAAAACAACTAACTCCTGTGAAGAAAGGGCAGAAACGCCCAATCGTGCCATCTTCAACATCATCATCGGAAGACAATAGGCCTCTCAAACAATCGGGTTCCAGACAACGTATTTCAGCGAAAACAGTGTACGTGCCTGCTCATTCGAAATTCCCATCTATGCCAGTTTCACATACCCCACCCCGCAGCCAAATGGTGGCGTCGAAGTTAAGAGAAGATGCAACTTCGGAGGCTCCGGGTATACAGAACATTCCTTATCCACAGCATTCTACTCCGGTGGTAGACTTAACAGTATCTTCTTCTACGTCGGGTAATCAAGGAACAGAGGCTCCTATTAGCATCAAACCAAAGTCTATTAGCATCAAACCAAAGTCTACAGTTATTGTCTCCTCCTCTAAGTCTGGCAATTTAGGAACGGAAATTCCTATCAGCATCAAGACAAAGTCGCCAACTCCAATAAAGACCCCAGCATGCTCAGATCTTATTCCCATTTCTTCAGACGAGGAATCGTCAATCCCGAAGTCACAAGTAGGAACTTCATCAAAATTGGTAGCATCGGGCTTTAACACCCAAGATAGTCACGTCATACTTTCGGAACAGGATGGGAATATGTCTTCATCGTCAAATTCGTCTCGGTCCTCATCTCGACGGAAAAAGCAGACTACATTTTACGGTAGTCCTATTAGACATTCAGTTAATGTCATTCAGTCCCAGTCAACAACTACTCCTCCGTCAACACCTGCCTCTCCGGACAAGAAAGTCCGTTTTGTCGTGTCTGGTTCAGATCGATCAAACCAACTAGGGCAGTCTAGGGCAGATATACCCGAGGATTCCGCAGTCTTACATAGGAAATTTATTCGCTTCCCCAAAAAGAGTACTTCCGACTATCCTTCGCGTCGGTCAGATAAATAAAACTTTTGCATTTATCGAATTCAGCATTTGGTCCAGAACTTATACAAACTATTGTACCTTGTTCTTGCTACAAACTTTAAACTTCATATCAAATTTCACTATATATGATAAGTCAACTTCCATGAATCTTTTTGTCTACCTGATGTTCTTCACGGTTTTCATATGTAAGAGCGCATTTAGTAATTTTGTACTTTTATAGTAAAGAAATTCAAACACGGTTTGAATTCTTTTTCCCGAGAGGGGGAAATGTGGTGCGTCGTCGCTTAGATTTAAACATGACGTCAACAGTGTGCTAGCTATTTGTGCTAAATTCCATTATCTGTCAAGGTCGTGACCGACCTGCCAATCCACTCTAGTCTTAACATCATGCGCTCTCTTTTCATTCTCTTCAACTTATGAAAGATTTAAGTTGTATTTATTTCATTGTCATGACATAATTTAAATACTAAACTATCTATATTATTTATATGATTATAACATAACAAGGAGAATTGATTTTTGTTTTACAACTGTCTTTCGACGTTTCACATAGCTAAAAATCCCTCTCGCATCTTATTAACAGTTCGTTTCTCTGGATTGGCAAGCACACAACTTCACTCAGCCCCAGAGCGATTATTTAGGGGTACAAATTGCTATTTGAAAACTGATATGCATTCCCCCAGAGCAATTAAGACGGTGAAAAGTGTCCCTGGTACTAATTGTCGCATGGTACGACAAAACAGTGCGCATTGTGGCCTCACGAAAATTTAGATTCTAATTTTTCTTCGGCACAAAGATCCCAAAGATTGTTTTTATTGTGTGAGAGTAAATTCCATCAGATGATGTTAGGATGATCTCAAGGAATCAAAAATCTTTTCAGACTTACCCGTCACTTTGTCGCATTTCTCGGGACTAAGACGACTGAAACTGTGAGCTTCGTAGCATGCATCCTCCCTAGAACTAATGCAGGTTCCCGCACAGTCCTGGCCGTAAAATCCATTGTCGCATTGTCTGCATTGATTAGCCTAAAAACTATTTTACTGATTAGTTTTTTTCACCTTCGGATATTCTTTTTTTTAAAAATTGTATTTTGAAACTTTCACTACATATTGCTGAGACATTTCGGGACTATTTGTTCTATTTTTTATATTTGATATCGTTTGATCCGTTTTGTTATCGATTCCAGAGTTTTTGGAACTTGCTTGATTTTGGTAGCCTGGAGGACATAGGCATGTAGGTCCGTCGCAAGTGGCACCTGCAACATTGCCACACTCTATTTTACAATCTCTGGAACAGTTGTCACCAGTTTTGTCTGGCGGACACTTTTCACAGCTGAAAAAAATTCATCGTTTTATTCAAACATTAAGAGACTCAGAACTGGAAGGTTTAAAAATTTTCAACTTCGGATGAAAAGTTTCCCATTTTTGAGAAAAAATGACAATTGAAAGATATCAGGCTTCGAATAATAACATTTGAGGTTACTCGAAAACAAACAAAACAGTCATCTTGCAGCTTAATTTAGTTCGTTTAGATTTAAGAAAAAAGCCAAAAAAGAAAATTGAAAAATTCTTACTTTGGTTGTTTGTACCCTTTTTTACAGACACAACTTCTTTGTTCCAAATTGCACCAATTTTCATCTTTACTCGAATCCACATTTTCAATATGACAAAATTCGGCGCAACCTTCTCTGAGAGCCGAACAACTTCTGCTTGTCGTCTTGCCAGGGGGACAAAAGTCTTTGCAGACGGCTTGCTCGATGATAAGAGTCGTGGCGTTCGTGTAGTATCCGACGTCACAGTGGAAATTTCCAGTGATCTCGTCGCAATACTCTATGTTAAACTGTTCGGCTTCTGCGTAGTTTACGGTGTAGTCTATAATTTTAAATAAAAATTTTTATTTTGTTTTGGAACACTGGGTTTACCAACTCAAATTATTTTTAAAAATCGAAAACAAAAAAAGGCCCCAAAAAGTGAGATTATCTATCATCAAGACCCTGCCCTGAATATTTCTCCCTCTGTACGTAATTTTTTTGGAGAAAAACCCTTTTTTAATCCTTTTCGGGAAGTTTTTTTTGGTGTTGCGCTCTTCCTTCAAAATCATTAGTACTTTTGGGCGTCAAGGCACCTTCAGAAAATTGTGAGAGTTGGTCGGCCGCAAATGACAGGGTAGAACTGCACAGTTTTTCAAGTTTTTATTTAGCATATCTCAAGAAAGACCAAAAACGTTTTATGTCAAATTTTTGGGCTTTTTTGATTTTTATACTAATTTTTTTTCTATTATTTTGTTGGGAGGATTCGGTCAATCAGCTAATGCATCGCTGTTGTGCTTCTTTTTTTGGTTTTATAGAATCCAAAAAATCATTTTGAAGCTGAAGGGAAAAAGACCACAGGAACAAAACAATAAAATTCATATGAAGTTAAATTATACACACCATCAAATCGCCCCTTTCTACATTTCTGGTATCCAGTGCAGTTCTCGAAGTCGTCACAACCTACATACCGAACATATATTTACATATTAGTTTTGATATTACGCTCTTTTCGACTCCACGCCACCCATATTTGGTTTTTGTTCCGACTTTCGTAACGAAAGTAACGGAATATTTGTGCTGGGGATGTTTTTTCTTCAGACGAATTTCGACTTTTTAACTAGCCATTTATCACGGAGTTTTTTATCAATCAAAAGGTAGTGTTCTCCTGAGCTGAATTTCAAAGATATTTCAACTGTGATCCTTTTTCGTAAAATTGTGGGGGTTTAAAGATAGCCAATTTGGGATAATTAAAGTTCGATATATTTCGTACTATTCACGCGTGAGTGGAAGTTTAATCGTCTTGTTGCAAATTGGTTGAGGGAAGCTTTTTCGCCATAATTGATGTGTTACTTGGAGAGAAATCTATCACTTTGTACTTTATATGGCGTGTGGGGGGATGTTTTCACAAAAAATCTCAAATTCAAAAACTTTTTTTCACTTTATTTTAATACGTTTATTTTTTCATGTTATTACTGTTCCATAGACATTAAAAAGCAGTCGATACATGCACGACTTTGCCCTGAAGCAAGCAGTTTTGTTATTCTGCTTTTCATAACGGAAGTAACGGAATATTTGTGGTCGGGTGGCTTTTTTCTTCAGTTAAATTTTGACTTTTTAATTTGCCATTTTTGACCGAATTTTCTATCATTCAAAAAATATCGATGTCTTGAACCTAATTTTTTTAAATAAATTTTTACCAGTGATCATTTTTTGTAAAGTTTTTGGGGTTTAAAGATTGCCAACTTGTGACAATTACAGTGCGATATAATTCGTACTACTCACGCGTAAGCGGAGATTTAGCCCGCCTTGGAAAACATTCCAAGTTGGTTGAAGGAAACTTAATTGCCATAATTGATTTGTCGCTAGGAGCAAAAATTATTCCTTGCACTTTATATGGCGTGTGGGCGGATGATTTTACAAAAAATCTCAATTTTAAAAACGTTATTTTTTTTTTTCATTTTAGTTTATTACATTTAATGTTTTCATGTTATTACTGCTGTATAGACTTTAAAAGGCATGAACATTCAAGGCTTCGTCCTGATACGAGCAGATTTGTTCTTTCGATTTTCGTAACGAAACTAATGGTATGTTTGTGCTCGGTTGGTTTTTTTTCTTCAGACAAACTTCGACTTTTTAACTATCCTTTTTTTGACGGATTTCAATATCTTTCAAAAGTTATTGTTGTAATGAGCTTAAATTTGAAAAAAAAATGTTTATTTTTGATTGTTTTTGTAAAATAAAGTGGTTTTAAAGATTGCCATTTTGGCAAATTTGGTACAATTAACGCGCGATATACTTCGCGCTAATAACGCATAATCCGATATTTATTCCGTTTCAGAAATTGTTTCAAAATGGTTGAAAGAAGCTTACTTGCCAAATTTTATCACTTGGTTTTTTATATGGAGTTTAGGATATTGATTTTCACATAAAACTTCAAATTAAAAACAAAAATTTCATTCTATTCAATTTATTAATTTTTCCATGTTATTACAACTCCATAGATTTCAAAAGGCAGTCGGATTATTCAGTATTTTCTTCTATAACCAGCAGTGTTGTTTAATTTGAACAAAACTCCTCGTATCAGGGTGAAGCGTTGAATGTTTTGACTGCCTTTTAAGGTCTATGGGGCAGCAATCCGATGAAAAAAAAATTAAATATGGGAAAGTGATAGATTTTGCTCCTAGCAACAAATCAATTATGGCAAATAAACTTTCTTCTACCAATTTGGAATAATTTCTGAGACCGAATAAATCTTACGCGTTAATTGCTCGAATTATATCGCGCGTTAATTGGCGCAAATTGCCCAAAATGGCGATATTTAAACCCCCATAACAATACGGAAAAAGAATAAGATGAAATATTTTTTCAAATTTAAGCTCAGGATAACAATAACCCGAGCATACGCTTGATTTTTAAATAAAAGAATCTCAGCGAAACCTAAACCGAGTTTTTGCGAGAAACGTTCAGATTTGGATCGAGTTATGTTTCTGATTTTCTTGTTTCGAAGTTTGTAATTTCTGTGGTTTTTGTGTTATAAGCAAGAAGTTATTAAGATTTTTCAGCTTGCCTCTATTCAAAATTAAGCAACATCGTTTAGTTGAATTTGAAACCTTTGCACTAAGCTTTAGCAAACAATCAAACGCATCAGATCAAAACCTCATAGTTTCCAGTTAATTTCCAAGTAAATTATTTATTTTGGCTGAAACTTTGTTTTTGAAAAATGAAAATTGAAACTTTGAAGAAAAAAAAAAGCTTTTTTTACCTGAGGTGGCACTATTTATAGCAAACAATGTCACTAAAATTATGGTAGTAAAAGTCTTCTGCTTGAGGTGGCACTATTTATCGCAAACACTGTCATTAAAGTTGTTTTTTTTGTTTTTTTTCTACTTAGATTTTAAAAATATTTTTTAATTTTTTTTTCTTAAAATTAAATTTTGCAATTTTTGAAAACAAAGTTTCAATCAAATTAAAATATAAAACTGGAAACTAACTGTTATTAGGGAGAAATTATCAGTTTGCACTTCATATGGCGTGTGAGGGATGATTTTCACAATCTCAGAATAATTAATTTTTTTTATTACATTTAAACTTTTTCAAACTTTTACGTCTGCATAGATCTTTAAAGGCAGTTGGAACATTCAGGGATTTGCCCTGATACGAGCAGTCTTGTTATTTTGACTTTCGTAACGGAAGTAACAGAATATTTGTCATCGGGGTTGTTTTTTTTTTCTTCATAGAATTTTCGGACTTTTCAACTAGCCATTTTTGACGAGATTTGTATAATATAATTCAAACAGTATTCTTGTCGTGAGCTTAAAATTAAAAAAATAATCTAACTGTTATCTTTTTTCCTAAAGTTATGGGGGTTTAAATATTGCCATTTGGCCAACTTGGGACAAATAACGCGCGATATGTTTCGCGTAAGCGGAGATTTAATCCGTCGTAGAAATTGTTCCAAATTAATTGAAGAAAACTTATTTGCCATAGTTGATTTTTACTAAAAGCAAAATTTATCACTTTGTTATTTTTATGGCGTGTGGGAGGATGATTTTCACAAAAATCTCAAATTAAAAAAAAATTCATTTAAATTATTTTATTGACTTTTCCATGTACTTTTCCTTTTACTGCTACATAGATTTTAAAAGGCAGTCGGATTATTCAATACTTCCTTCTAAAATGAGCAGTGTTGTGTAATTTGAAAAATATAGTTGCAATTTTCAGAAAGTAGTTTAATTTGGTGGGTCGGACAAATAAACCACATCAAGTCAATAGTTCCTCATATCTTAAGCATCAAGTTCACGCAGTCAATCGCAATAGCAACTCTAAGTTCAATGAAAATGAGAATCAAGATCCATGCGATAAAAAATATATTTTCAAATTTTATACGCTAAGTTGTCAGGAAGTGTAGATTCATAAGCGTTCTAACACTTGAAAAAACGACTTTAAATTTTTATTGGAGCTTCATCATTTTTTTCATTTTTCACGTTCAAGAACACATTAATGATCAGTTTGGAGCTTTTGTTCTTCGAGCTTCACCATTTGAGGTGGTTTTCATTGATCTTTAAAAAAATGTTTGATGCGTAAGGCTTGGCGGAAAAATCTTCTTTTTGCGAAAGATTTCCAGCTATCTCAACAAGTTGAACTGATTTTAAATCATCACTTGAATGGCAGGCTTGGAAACAAGGAGCTGATTGCAAACCAGTTCTAACTATCAAACCAATTTAAACTATCAAACTATTTTAAAATTTAAGTAAATTTCTTCGCGCAAAGAGCTAGCCTTATTTTGGCTGAAACTTTGTTTTTGAAAATCGCAAAAGAAAACTTTAACGAATAAAAAAATTTGTGCCTGAGGTGGCACTACTTATAGCGAACACTGTCATTAAAGTTAAAGTAATTTCTACTTAGCTTTTAAAATTCATAAGAAGAATTTTTTAAATCAATTTTTTCTTGAAGTTATATTTGACCTTTTTTGAAAACGAAGTTTCAACCAAACTAAAAGATGAAACTGGAAACTAATTGGAATCTATAAGGTTTCGTCCTGACAAAACTTTGATCTACTTGCCCTTTACGTAGATGACATGATATTTGCCGGATCCTTTAAAAATGAACATTGTGCTATCTACTATTTTCACGGGACCCATTGAAAAACTTTGAATATCTTTGAGAGAAAACACGGACAGCAAGTTATCGAGGAAGGAATCACTTTGGAAGAATTATATCGACACCAACAGAGTCAAAAAGGGGTGAGGTTGAAACTATTGACAGCATAGTAGGAGCCGATGAACAAAGAATTACACCAGAAAGAGTCGCGATGACCGGAAGTGTAATAGACCAATTACAATGGGCAACTACGCTGTCAAGACGAGACTTGGCTAAAAAGTTTAATGACTGCATGTCAGCATTGAACAATCGATCCCATAGAGGCAAGAGGGACGGTTCTCAAAAGTTGTTAAGACCAATTAATGGAATGCTAGAAATGGAAACGTATGTAGATGCCAGATTTGCGAGATGCGTTACTATGGCACAAATGGGATCGATCAGAGGACAAACTTTGATTGCAATACCCGTATTTAACTGGTCGCCTAAAACGATCAACCGGGTCAAGAGCGACATGTGTGAGGCAAAATTAAATGCAGCAAGACAAACGTCGAATAAACTAGTTTACTGTGAGGCGCTGATTGATTGGAATGGCCGAGCACGAGCTTCAAACACTTCAGAGATTTTACTGAGAGCATGAGTGTTCGAACGGCAGAGTATTTGACCATATTCAACTCCACGAAATAAAAATTGAGAATCGAAGCAGTTGCCCAAGGCAGATCACTTGAACGTTTTGAGGACATAAATTTACTGTTTGTCAATTCAGAGAATCAACTTGCTCACTGTTTCTCTAAGTATATGAATGAAGACGCAATGTCAGACGTGATGAAATTTTGCGCTCTGCGATACACACGTAAATACGATGGATCATTCAAGTAAGGAACTATAAATGCAACAAGAAGATATACAGAGTTGGAGCCTGAATAATACAGTAACAAAAGTAATGTGAGATTTATGTTATCATTACTTTGACCTCTATAAGAGACAATGAAAAAAGAGACAAAAAAGAATGGCGATCATTCGCAAGAACTAACTAGTTGAAATCAGTTATTACGATTTTATTTCTTTCGAGTGTACTTAACCTAGAGAAATCTTAAGCTGGGATCGACAATTACTTTTGTGAATTGGTCCAAAAATACAAAAATAACTTCAGATAAGCAAGCAATTTGAAAAACTTAACACTAATATAAACCCAATGTATGGTAAAATGTAGATAAGGTCAAGGTAAATATAAGTAAATTACATACTTTTTAAAGGTAAATTCGTAAGGTAAATTTACAAATTTTTATAAATTTACCAATTTAAAAATTTGTTTGAGGTGTTTTTTAAGGCTGATACACCTTAACCTTTAAGGTGATTTAAAGCAAACTTTTCATGTGTTTTAACCCCTATTTAAGAAATGTGAAAACAAATCAATTACAATGGAATTTAGTGTTCTATAATGTTGTAAATATAATCGAATCCCATGTTACGTTCAGACAACAAAATTGGACTAAAAATGGATTTAATTCCATTTTTTCTCGCCGAAACAAAATGTATTATAATTCATTTTAAATCCATTATATTGGATTTTATAATAAGTAGGAAATCACATTAAAATGGATTTTTTTCCACTTTATTTTTGTTTCGCGCGTCGTGCAAAATTTTATTTCAGCATTTATCAAGTGAGTGATGCGGAAACTTTGCAAAGCGAGTGTACGGCCTAGACTAATCCATTTCGAAACCTAAACTCAAATTGCAAAAAGATTCCGT